CCAAACAATTAATTGATGAATGGAGAAAATAATCTCATCTGATCTAATGAGAGACCTTGACCAGGTCCTGCCCAGTGTCTGCCTGTGTTTGCAGCAGCACGTTGATGAGTGTGATGTTGTCTCCTGAAGATAATTGTGCAGCAGATGCATTCTTTGAATAAGTGATTGATTATACTTATAGTTATTGCTGCTGTTTGTTCAATTATTAGAGTATCCCTGTTTACTGATTAGTGTTGTCATTTACCTTTCAGCCATGCAATCACCTGTAACGGTCAACCCAGTGAGATCCTCTGGAAAAGACAGTAAACTATTGAATTTGTCCCTCTTCTCTTCAGGCTTTAAAGGATGTACCAGTGCAGAGTCTCTGTGAATAACCCAGCTACCACAAAGGCAAGGCAGGTTTATTTATATAGCACCATTGAATGAATAGTGCTATATAAAAGGCAATGCAAAGTGCTTTAGAGAGGCATGGAAATACAGGACAAACATTAAAATTTCATGTAGCAAATTACAAAGTCAGTTTTCTACCAGATTATTTTGACTGAGTCCCACAAACACCATTCACCATTCTTCAACCAGTCAATACATACAGCACCACATGTGTAAAAGTCTGCTGCTGAAAACAGTCCAGACTATTTGCACCATTTCCTCCTGTTTTAGTAACGTTTGCTGGAGCCAGTCCCAGTTCACACAGATCGCCACACATTCACATTCACATTCTCACACACACACACACACACACACACACACACACACAACACACAACACACAACACACACACACACACACAACACACACACACACACACACACACACACACACACACACACAACACACACAACCACACACACACACACACACACACACACAACAACCACACAACACACACACACACACACACACACACACACACACACATCATACATCATACATACACACACATATATACACATATATGTATTAAAAACTTTCCCCCTCTCACCTGCCCCTGATGGGGTGGTGGTGGTGTGTCTTCCTCAAGCTCGGGTCCTCTGCCAGAGGCCTGGGAGTTTGAGGGTTCTTTGCAGTATATTAGCTGTTCCTAGGATTGCGCTCTTCTGGAGAGAGACCTCAGATGTTGTACCTGGAATCTGCTGGAGCCACTCTCCCAGTTTGTGGGTCACAGTCCCCGGTGTTCCGATGACCACTGGCACCACTGTTGCCTTTACTCTCCTCATCTTTTCTAGCTCTTCTTTCAGCCTTTGGTATTTTTCAAGCTTCTCGTGTTCCTTCTTCCGGATGTTGCTCGGAATTATTACATCTGCCACTGCCTTCTTCTCTTGTTTGTTGATCAACACGATGTCCAGTTGGTTAGCCATCACCAGTTTGTCAGTCTGGATCAGGAAGTCCCACAGGATCTTAGCTCAGTCATTCTCAACCACCTTAGGAGGTGTCTTCCATTCTGACTGTGGGACTTCCAGCCCATACTCAATGCAGATGTTCCTGTACACTTTGCCAGGTACTTAGTAATGGCGTCTGATGTACGCTGTTCCTGCCTGCATCTTACACCTTGCTATTATGTGCTGGACTGTCTCAGGAGCATCTTTGCACAGCCTGCACCTGGGGTCCTGTCTGGTGTGGTAGACCCCGCCTCTATTGATCTTGTACTAAGTGCCTGCTCTTGTGCTGCCATGATTACTGCCTGTATGCTGTCTTTCAATCCAGCCTTTTCCAGCCACTGATAGGATTTCTTGATATCAGCCACTTCTTCTATCTGTTGGTGGTACATGCCGTGTAGGGGCTTGTCCCTCCATGATGGTCCATCCTCCTCCTCTGCATAATCAGGTTTCTTCTGCCTGAGGTATTCACTTAGCAGCTCATATTCGGGGGCCATCTACCTGATGTATTCCTGGATCTTGATTGTTTTGTCCTGGACAGTGGCTCTGACGCTCACCAGTCCTCGGTCTCCTTCGCTCTGCTTAGTGTACAGTCTCAGGGTGCTGGACTTGGGATGAAACCCTCCATACATTGTGAGGAGTTTCAGTGGCCTCTATCTCCTCCTTTGGCCAGCTCCTGGTAATGTAGATCAGTAAGTCCATGTCTCGCTCATTCCTGGCATACGACTTGATGTCATGCATGTAGAGGAGGTGACTGATGGTCGCTCTACTTCGGAACTGGTATGGCTGACGGGGTTCAGGCCTATGCAGAACAGCAGCGGGGATAGTGCATCACCTTGGTATATGCCGCACTTGATGGTAACTTGTGCAATTGGCTTTGAGTTGGCCTCCAGAGTTTCCACAGCTGTTTTCCACAGCAACATTGAGTTCTTGATGAACGCTCTTAGTGTCCTGTTGATGTTGTACATTTCCAAGCATTCCAGTATCAATGTGTGTGGCACTGAGTTAAACACCACTCTGGGTGGGCAGTTGGTTCATCTGTGCTACTAGGTTCGTTTCTTTAGCCAGTAGGTGTGGATGGTGTCAGGGCCCAGTGCTGTCCAGCTCTTCACCTGACACTCTTTCTCGGATGTCTGCCATTGTAATGGTTACTGGCTCTTGTTCTGGGAGATTGCTGTGGCCTAGATGTTGGGTTTTAAAGCATCCATATATCCCACATCCTCTGCATGTAGCCCCTCTTACTTGGGTTACTTGTATAGCATTTCAGCAGGTCTGTATTCTCTGTTCTGTTCCACCTATGTTTTGTTTCAGTAGCCCATTTCTCATCAGGATGCCCCGGTTCCCCAACCACAGGGCACATATACCGGGGACATCATGAAGCCTTAAACCTCCTTTAACATAACACGTTTTAAGCTGTAATCTACATGGGATAAACAACTTTATGATGTAAAATGAGTGAATTTGACTTTAAATGCTCAATTCACAGTTAGATGATAACAACATTAAAAACTAAGATAATAAATTCATATGTTAAGACAGGGGACCCTTCATTAATGTTTAGAGATGTGTAGGAGTAAATGAACGGTTCAGGGGGACACTGCCCAAAGTCTCTTTAAGGCTGTTGAAAAGTAATGACATAAATCATGGGAACATTTTGTGCTGTGTTGTTTAATAATAGTCAAGTTTTTCAGTGTACTATAAGTAAAGCCCATAAATACAAGTGTACAAGTGTTTGTCCTCTTATTTCCCATTTTGATTTCTATACCATTTTATACCACAATGGCAATGAAATGTATGTGGTAACATGAACTGGCCACAAATACAGATAAACACAATGTGCTTCAGCTAATAACAAAAGAACAATTACAATCTTTAGTGTCTTTATTGAACACAGTCATTAAACACTCTAGGCTCTGGTGGAAACAGTCAGTGAAACTTGGATTTAATAACTGGTTGAAGCTCCTCTGAAACCAGCCCTTCAGTAGCTGCTGATCAGAGCTGCTCAGTGTTCAGGAGGAAGTTTATACCATTCTTCTTATAGAGCTGCTTCAGCCAGACAGATTCTCTGGGTGTCTGGTGTGAGCAGCTCTGAGTTCAGTCCACAGCATCTCTACTGGATTCACATCTCTCTTCATGAGTCCACCATACACACATCATGGAGCATGGACTCCTGTTGCCATGGACACCACAGAGGAAACTGCTGCTACTGGAACATGTTTGATGGACTGATGAGACTGAGGTTGAACTGTTTGAAGAACATCAGCTCTATGTGTGGAAACATGGCTCTGCACAGCAACATGAAAACATCCTCCCACAGATGGAGCAGGGTGGAGGGTGCATCAGGATGCCTGTCCACCTGCTTATGCTCAGGAGAAGCTGCTGATGCAGCAGGAAAATGACCCTCAACATCAGAGTAAATCCGATAAATGTGTGTAAATTGTTGTGTTATTGAATCTTAGATAAAGATCTGATCATTTATTGTAAGGTCTTGAACTTACCCTAGAGTGCCTTGAGATAATGGCTTCTCATATGAAAAGGTATAATGATCTGGAGTTTTTTGTTAAAATGGACTTATAACAAAACCAGGGGACATATTCAGGGGTGGACAGTAACAAAGTACATGTACTTGAGTACTGTACTTAAGTATATTTTTTATATTTTTTGATCTGTTTTTTACTTGAGTATGATTTTTTTTGTAAACTTATGACTTTTACTCCACTACATTTAAAAGACAAAGACTGTACTTCTGACACCACTACATTGTACTCGTTACTTTGAGTCAGAGGAGGGAATTTTCTTTTATTTTGAAAATGTAACAGACCTTACATTGTGTTCATTACAGGAGAAAAACCCATCACAGCCAACTCCTCCACTGTCAGTCATGTTGTACTGCTGCATGTTTGAACCGCTCAGTTTGAACCTGTCAGTGTCCTAATGATGGCTAAATCCCTGATAAAGATGAGGCCGAAGATTCTTCAAGTCTATGTACAGATTTTTTTAATTTGGTGTCTAATATGAAAAAATTCATCACTACCTACAGAAATTTGCCATCTAACTTTACAAAGCATGTCGGGGCATTAAATGTTTGTTAATTTCCAGATGAACAGCTTGAAGTTCATTTTGTTGATTCAATTGTGTTTTTATGGCCATTTCTATCAGCTTTGTATCATATTCTACAAGCTTTATATTCTACAGGTTCTACAGTCAGGCAGTGCATTCAATTAGTTGTTTCAGAGTCATTAGATTCTGGAAATGTGGAACAATACAACAATGTGATGATGGAAAAAAAAGTGTTGAATACTTGAGTATTTTTAAAATCAAGTACTCCAGGACTCTAACTCAAGTAAAATTTTGACTGAACAATTCTCATTTGTATAGGGTAATATTTGACCAGACGTATCTATACTTTGACTCAAGTAATGCAGCTTTTTACTTTGTTCACCTCTGAACATATTATATCCTGTTGGATGCTTCACATAGGTCAACTCAGGTCTTACTGCTGGGCAGCTGGTATATCCTACATACCTTGAACGCATCGAAAGAAACACACTGAGGCTCCGTCATTACGCACATCGACGCAGCCGGCTCGTCCAATCAGGTGAGGAGTCTGAAGCTCAGGAAAGAAGCAGATGATATGGCAGCTTTGAGAGCGACCAGGTGGAACTTGCTTTGTTAAAACGGCCAAACGTGTAAATATGAAGACTGTGTGACTCGGACTCCGCGTCAGAGCAGCTGCTCGAGATGATTTACTTAATGCTCATTTCCGCGTTGTCCGGAGCAGTCGTTACGTTGATATTACAGTTCTTGCTGATTTACCGGAGGAGCCCCGAGCCCGTGAGCAGGACAGTGCAGTATGTCAAAGTAGTGCCTGATAACGCGCTGAAGGATTACTTTAATACCCAACATGCCGAACCAGGACAGCAGCAGCAGGACAGCACGACATCTGCTGCAGCCAAACAGCAAGAGGCCGCCTCAACGCGGCAGCAGGAAGCGGCTGTCACCGGCGGCAGCCCCAAACAACAGCCGCCGCCGCCTTCACAAAGCGAGCCCATTGATGCAACCAAACCGGAGACGTGCAATTTCTTAAACGCTATATTCCTGTTCCTGTTCAGGGAGCTCCGTGACACCCCCGTAGTCAGGCACTGGCTCACCAAGAAGATCAAGGTGGAGTTTGAGGAGCTGCTGCAGACCAAGACAGCAGGTCGGCTCCTGGAGGGACTCAGTCTCAGGGACATCTCCCTGGGTAATTCTCTGCCGGTCTTTAAAACAGCTACACTGATGAAACCGGTGCATTTAAACGAGGACGGCATGCCCGAGGAGCTCAACTTCGAGGTGGACCTGGAGTACAATGGCGGCTTCCACCTCGCCATCGACGTGGAGCTGGTGTTTGGGAAGTCTGCCTACCTGTTCGTGAAGATGAGGCGCGTGGTGGGGAGGTTGAGGCTGCAGTTCACGCGCATGCCCTTCTCCCATTGGTCCTTCTCCTTCCTGGAGGACCCCCTGGTGGATTTTGAGGTGAAATCGCAGTTTGAAGGGAGACCGTTGCCCCAGCTCACCTCCATCATAGTCAATCAGCTGAAGCGGGTGATCAAGAAGAAGCACACCTTACCCAACTACAAGATCAGGTAGGCTCAAAAAACACTGTGTACCAACAACTAAACGACATACTGCTAATCAGCAACATCTACACAAACAACAACAGTTGCAGAAACTCCTCACCCAGCAATATAACCAGCAAGGCCTAAAGATATAACAGCACCTGGCTGAGGTGTTCCCCACTGTGACAGAGGAGACTTTTTTATATGATACTAGAAATTACAATTAAACAACCAAAACTCATGTAGTCATATAGGAGTTAGGAGTAACACCTGCATGTGCCATAACTAAACACTGTACACCAACATTGTATTCACTAAATTAGACTGTGCTAATGTACAGCAAAAATTACTGAACTGTTTCTTGCGAAAAGATTCAAGCTAAATGTCCACAGCTAGTAGTAGCTACTTCAGAACAGACTACCAGACCTATACATTGTGATTGAAATCATACCACTGGTGAGCTGGTGATAAAGTCCACAGCTTGTTCAGTCAGATTTTTACTTGAGTTAAAGTACTGGAGTACTTGATTTTAAAAACTTTATTTTATGGTAATTAAGTACTGAAGTATTAAAAAGTACATTTTGATGGTCAACTCATTGTTGTATTGTTCCACATTTACAGAACCCAATGACTCTGAAACAACCTACTGACTGACTGTAGAACCTGTAGAATAGAAAAAGACTGTAGGATATGATACAGACTGTAGAGATGGACATAAAGCCCCAAGTCTGGTTGTGGTACAGCAAACATCTAAAACTAAATTAATCTTTCTTTATTTTCTAAACCTTCAAACACAGACCTCAGATCAGAGCATGGTCACTGGTGAAGAATCTTCTGCCTCATCTTTATCTAACGGCTCCATCATTTGGACACGACTGACAGTGGAGGAGCTTACTGCGATTGGTTTTTCTCCTGTGATGAACCCAGTGTATGGTCTATCACATTTTCAAAATAGAATAAAATTCCTTCCTCTGACTAAAGGTCAAAAGTAAATATTTGTCTTTAAAAGTTCCACTTTCTACTTTTACTTTTACACTTTTACTGCTACAAGTGCTTGTAATTTTGTTATTTTGGAAATGAGGTTTAAGAAACACATTTTCCACATTTTCCACTGGTAGTTTATCCAGACAGAGCAGCTCAAATCAAAAGGACAATGATTGACTCAAAAACTGCTCCCAGATCTTAATATAAACAGAAGTCCAATTTTTATTTCATTTTTTAATTATTTTTTTATGCCTTTATTGATAGCACAGTAGAGAGAGACAGGAAATGGGGAGGCAGAGAGAGGGGGAATGACATGCAGTAAAGGGCTGTCCGATGCGGGATTCGAACCAGGGCCAACTACAGCGAGGACCTTAGCCTCTGCATATGGGGCGCCTGCTTAACCAACTGCGCCACTCGACGCCCCAGAAGTCCAATTTTTGACTTTATTATTTGTCTGCGCTGTCTCCAGAGATGCTGCTCTACTTCTCAAATGATTTTCCATTTCTTCCAGCAGTGAGTTCTGCAATGGAACAATAGAGTCTTAACAATATCAGATTGACCAGAATCAAGCATTTTTTTCAAGTATACATCGAATGACTTTTAATTGCACTTGATATTTATATATTGGAATTTTCCACTTTGATTATTTGCATACTTAAAACACAGTTAATTCAGAATTACTGATAATGGTCTTTCAAATGGATTCACTTGAAATTATTACTGGTCTCTATGGATACTGACCTGGGTAATGGAATCAGCTCATAATCTAACCTGATGTTTCTTGATGAAAGTATTTCACCACTAAGTCCCACTCAGTAGCTGTTCTTGAGCTTTTGACTGAATCACAACATTCTTACTCAGCACATCAGTTCACCCAAATTGTAGAGTTTCAAACTTCCATTTTTTTCAGAGCATTTTAAGGAGATCTCATCAGAGCTGGCTTCATTCCTGACATTTGAACTAGCAGTTTAACTGAAGGTTCATTTATTTCCACAACCACATCTCACAGGCTTTCATCAGTAGTTGTAGTTTACTCAGTTATCATGGAGAATATCTCCATGACAACTGAGGAAACTCCTGAGGACTGTGAGATGCAGTTGAAAGCTCTAGAGAGAAGCCAGGAAGTGGACTTTGAGTTAATATTTTTTTTGGACTGCAACAGCAGTGCCCTGTAAGTGCTAATGTTTGTGACTGATGACTGAATGATCATATTTCCACCATTGGTCAGCCTAATGCCATGTGACTGAGTTGGAGTTCACCCATTGGCCGTTGCTCTTTCAAAATAAATTGGTGCAACCACTTTCTATTAGGAGGCGTTCAGTCTGCAGTGCTATCAACTTGGCACATGTGTCACTAGATCTGGAGAAGACAAATCAGATCATGTTACAGTAAATCCAGCTGAAATCACAGCTCAGTCTTTGTCTTTAACACATGTTTCTGGTGATGCTGTTCAACGCCGTCCTGGTTATAAAATCAGGATTTTAGCAGCAGCTTGGAAGTGACTGCTGGTTAACATGTAGTCTTACTGGTCCACGTTTCACTCACCGTTTCTGACTTGTGTCATTGTTGTGACAACAGAAACAGAAAAACATGTAAATGAGAACAGCTTTATTGTGAATTCAGATATATTAAAAAAAACTGTACATGTGAGCACAGAAAGGAGTAGAGAATATGACATGGTGATGTCAGATGTTTACAGGTTCCACAACAGTTTTCAACTATGTCCTCAGTTTCACACATTGACCGTATGCGGTCCAGAAAGATGCTAGGTCGACCCAGTCTTGTGTTTGTTTGTTGTATTTGTCTTGTTGTCAGATTGTGATATTATTGTTTTTATGACTTCCCAACAAGAACAAATATGATGGGATCCAGAAACCTGTACAACAGGGACTCTGCTAGTTTCTTAACAGATCTTAGACATGGTACTTGGTACTGCCACCATAGCACAGATATTTGCAGAACTACATTCTCCACCATAATCTAAAGTAACATGGATCAGAAGATTTCAGATTCCTTTCCTCCCTCTTGCCGCTGTAACTCATCGTGTTGATATCACTTTTGTTTTTATTCTGCACGATTACAGAATCCACAGGGCTCTCAGAAAGTAATGGTTCGGCAGTGTGGAGAGAAATCATGTCTGATCAAACGACCATGTGATCCCAAAAACATGCGCTTCAATCAACCTTTCTGAGAAGTAAGCGCTCATGTTACAGAGAGAAACTTGAGATCTTACTTCACTGTCCACAGTCTTTTTTGTAGTAGATTCTAAACTGTTCAGTTCTTTAACTGAGCATGGGTCATGTTTCAGCTCTACGATGGAGTTATTTCCTGGTGCCTTCTGTTTGACTTCCGCCAAACAGTGTTTACTATAAGGACCAAAAAGTTCAGTTTGGTCTCAGCTGACTGTAGAGCCTCCATCCACTTGTTTCAGAGTTTGCTATATGCCTTGTAGCAAACACTAGTCCAGATGTCATGTGAGATGTTTTAAACAATAGCTTTCTCTTTTCCTCTCTGCGACCGGTGAAGTGCTTGGCAACAGCTTCAATATGCACACTGTCTCCATCTCACCCATGGATCCCTGTAGTGCTTTTAGCGTCATTGGTGCTACACACACACACACACACTGATTGATTATACTGTTCTGAGGAAAATATAGTACCTTGGAAATGGTTTTGTGTCTTTCCTTTGATTACCAGCTGCGGCAACAGGGCTGCTATTGTTTTCAGCTTGTGAGACTCTCTCTCTGTGTGTGTGTGTGTGTGTGTGTGTGTGTGAGAGTTTGTCATCATTGCAAAATGTGGTCCTGGAGACACCTGCTCTGTGTCTGTTTGTTTGATGGCATTGCAACTGTGCAAGGTGCAGTCGTGAAACTTTACAGGTGTGTAGTTGACATCAAAAAGAAAGCACGTTCAAAGATGGCTGTGATCTGACCCATTAGAAGTCATGTCATAATCTTGTGATAGTGTTGTACTAATGTAGTAATAATGTTGTAATAATGTAGTAATTACAACAATTATTTCTTTTTGATTTTTATTAGTGGTAACAATGAAAAACTCTACATAATTCAAAGTTGTTGCACAGTGAAACATGAAAATGTCCAAAGGGGTCAAATACAATAAGAGCTTCTAAACCTCAGTGAAAATAGAAATGAGAAATTTGAAGTGAGAGAAACGGAAAGAGAGGGAAAAAAAGGGAAGTACAGAAGTTCACATGAGAGAGAGAGCGAGACATGGAAAAACAAGAACTTGTGTTTTCAGTTCTTTATTTCACTTTGCCTTACAAAAAAGGAACAGCTGTCAGGTAGTGGAAGTGCACATACCAGAGACAGACATGAGCCTATACTGTCTGATGTGGACTCACTGAAGTCCCAGCTGTGTCCTTTGGGACCTTCTCACAGCAGCACAAGACACATCTGCATTCTGACTACTGACTTGAGTCCACTTGGCCATGACGTGTGTCCTGTCAAGGTTCCCGCCCTCTTATCAGGGGCAGACTGGCTGATGATGTCACTTCCTGTCAGTGTGTATCAGAGAACAGGAAACACTGCACTGTGATAACTGTTCCTTTGTCCCTGCAGACCTCCGATTAGAGCCACAGTTTGATCGTATCTTTGTTTGCAGTAGTCAGATATCAGCTTCATGTTCAAACCATAGAGTTGTGTAATTAAGTGGTGATGTACAGAAAACTACACCATGAGTCTGAAGCTCAGAGTTTAATTTGAATGCTCAGTGGAGGTGGTGAGATTTTCTTCTGTTCTCTGTCTCATGGGATTGGAAACAGAGTTAGGGCTGCAACTAGTGATCATTTTCATCACTGATCAATCAGCTCATTATTAAGTGTTTAGTCCATAAAACTTCATGAAACAGTAAAAAGTGAAGAGTTTCCCAGAGTACGGGGCGACACCTTCAAATGTCATTTTGTCCCAGGACCCAAAGATATTCAGAGTAGAGCAGCACAGTGATTAATCAGTTATCAATCAGTTATCAACTGGACAGCTGTGATTTTTCACAGTTGTTTTTTTCACTATTTTTTTTTTACGAATG